ATAATGCAAACCCAAATGAAAGCCTTGTACCTATATATATATATATATATATATATATATGTGTATGTGTGTGTGTGTGTGTGTGTAAATGAATTAATTTATGACTTACTGATTTGTTTTGTTTCCATTTCCACCAAGCGAAAGCAACTATGAGACTGCACAAAAAGACAACAACCAAAGCAATGACACATTTGTTGATACATGATGATTTGTTGTTGTTTGTAGATGAACTTGGTGGAGTCGTAAAGAAATCAGCTGAAATGACAAAACACAGGACATGACATTAATGTCAAACTATACCTCAATCCTTTGAAACTAACAAAGACAGAATTTTATTCAGTTAGACCATATTTGTGTCATTAGCAGTTTACAAAGTCATTATTTTTAACCAGTGCAGGATAACGTATACAGTATGGTCTGGTGTAGATATTCATGCCCCCCAGAGGATTCATCCATGATGACCCTTTGACCAGTTCTCATATGCCACCATCTAATTAAAATCTCTCACACACGAGAAGTTGAAGGTTGCCAGGATCTTTTAATTAGAACATGAATGCTCGTCGGAGGGTGTTCCCATCACATTTCTGACACTACAGGCTAAGTTGCCCAATTTTTTTTTTTTTTTAAGATGTATGGCCCCCAGCCCCTTTGTCAGTGAGTTTTACATCCGACACCAACGCAAATAGCCACCTTTCGCAGTGTCATGATACGCTGCCGGTCAGCCAGACATCACCTGTCGTGGTTGTATGCAGACAGGTGGTGTCAGTTGATAACATGGCAGGACAGCATTTGTCGCAGCATTATGATAGGACATAATGCGTCAGGTTGAAACTGCCAGAAACTACACTACAAGGGTGGATGGAAGGGTCAGTGGATTGGTCCAGCAAACCCCGGACTGTCACCCAGGAGCCTAGTGTTTGCCTCCCATTTGTTTGTTGAGCCAAACCTTGAACTAACTAACTAACTTTTCTTAAACTAAAGCAAGCACCAGACAGGAGAGCTGCATACTGTATTAAAAGCACCCAATGGTTTGATTGTGAAACGTTTTCATCCAGCAGAAATCGATTTCAAAATGCCTGACAAAGATCTCTGTTAGATCAAAACATTGTACAGTTGCCTAAACCTAACCTAACCTGCGGCGTCCTGGGACAGCAACAGCAGATGCAGTACAGTCTCAAGCGCATAATATGTAGATGTGAAAGTCCACTGACAAAGCAGTGATATGTAACAAACTTAGGATGAGAATGTGTTGGCAATTTACATTGTAATTAACGAGACACCATCTTGGAGCATGGTATCTTCTTTTAATACTTTCCTCATGCACCACGCTCAAGACAAACTACACATTTTCAGTCCCACGACTGGTCAAGATTTAAGAATAGCTCAATCTAAATGTAATTTGCAGTCCACAGAATAAAGGGAGCCTGCTAATGGGACCATAGGCCATTGGTTTATTTACCTGATATGTGAGTAGTTGTTTCTGTGGTCCGGTTGATGTTCCTCTGTTGGACTCTACAGGTGAAGCTGTTGCTGTGTCTCTTCTCCACAGTCACTCTGCTGCTGACAGTATAGAGGTCATCAGGACCTCTGACTGTCTCTGTAGGTCCAGCAGAGAGGAGCTTTCCCTCACCTTCCAGCCACAACACCTCAGGCTCTGGATACCAGCCTGCAGACTTACAGTCTAACATCACTCTCCTGCTGGTTATGTTAATACTCACAATGAAAGGTGGAGAAACAGCACCTGAAGAGGGAAGAAAGGAGAACCTGAGAATTAAATGAGCATACACACATAGTTACTGATGCACATTTAACAGACCTGCTGATGAAACTCATACTACAAGGTACAATCAAGGTACTTTTGCAAATTCTCCTTGTCAGAAATCATTTTCCTGTTATCTTAGTCATGAATGTCTTCTTTTTTATTCCCTCAGCTTGTAGCTTTAGTTTCAGTTCATTTAAGGCAGCACCCTCAGTAGTATGTTAAGAGTCATTACACATTTTTTTCATATCTTTGGCACTTAAATATATCTTATTCGTCCAGGCCCAGCAAAAACTGGATGTAAAATGATCCGTACCTTACCAACTTCAAGCTGAATAAAAGAGTGACCCAGTCCTGGAATGAAGCATTTATATTGTCCCCCATCAGAGAGTGTCACTCTGGAGAGCGTCAGTGAAATGTCTCCGTGCTTCAGTTTGTCGATGGACACTGATGTTCTTCCTTTGTAGGACAGATGTTTCTTACTCTCCAGTTCCACACCGTCACGCCACACATGAACAAACCTGGGGTTCAGGTCAGGTCTCGCCCATTCTACTGTCATGTCTGAAACATTCTTGGCAGGTCTCAGATGGCATGGTAAAATGATGTCATCACCAACTGTTGCCACTATTGGCTGAGATGGACAAACCACCTGATGCTGGCCTGAGGAAGAAACAAATCTGTTTTAGCTTCAGCAAGAAGAAATGTGTTGTGGTTTTTGCATTTTCTTTGACTCAACTAATAACCTTTATCATTCAAAGTTCAGTGGCTGAGGCTCAGTTAAAAAAAAACAGGTAGGCAGTAACATTATGGGCCGTTCATTTTAACTGCAGTGTGAGTCATTAAACTGTTAAAATTTGCATGTTCTATCAGCAGTTAAAATTTGTATAGCAGACATCTTGTCACTTGTGCAAGACAGAGTTGGTCTAAAAAACACATGACTGCATGTTTTTCAACTCTTGTTAGACATTACATGTATTTTTACATTCATGAAGCTGTTACTAATTGATCTGTGTGTACAGTATGTTACCTTCAAGACATGATGCTCGGAAAAGGAGGACAAACAGCAACAGTGAAAGAGATTTATGATATGGACCATCTTTCACAAGGAAATACTGGACTTCTGAAAACTGAATAATTTGTCAAATGTTACTTTACAAATAGGAATATGATAGGATAACAGTGTGAATCACAAAATAAAGAAATATAACTGTAGTGTTTGTTATTAAAGTGTTCCTTTATGACATGCAATATAACCAACTCTCTGTGCCCAGTGTCTTTTATTAGACAGTAGCAAGCACCATCTGTTTACAGGTGCTGGTGCTCAGCAACAAACTTTAAAATAACCTGCAAACCATTGTAGGATTAAATGTTCAAATCAGATATTTAAAGTTATGTACATCTACTAAAGCTCAGTTCTGAGAGCCATAAGCTCATACAACATACCTGCCCTTCCTCCAGCTCAGGTGTGGACTCCATCATCAACTGGCAGTTTGTGTATCACTAAATATTTCCATGCAATCTCTCATGGTTTGATTACCTGCATTTTTCATATCCATCAGAGCGTTTAGAGACGTTTGACCAATAATCAGTGAAGAAATTGTGGCGGCAGGACACAGCTGCAACAAGACAGAGGAACAGGTTGCACAGAATCATTTCATAACTGAGATAGTTAACATTTAACAGGTGACACTGCACACATAATGTGGAGACAGGGAGGGAGGACAGCTCTGCCTCCTCATGCAGCTGCTGTGCCAAATGAAAGACAGGGACGGAGTGGTGACAGATAGATAACTCCAGTGGAGAGAGGCAATATTTCTGGTTCTTATTTTTCTTTGTTGACCCTGAAGATGGTGCAGTTGGGATTGACACCAATAATCTGTTGCTGTGATGTCGAGACGTGGGTTTAAATCCAGCCTGAGGTGCTTCACAGGGTGTCTGTAGCAATGGCCAAAAGAAGCCTCATGAACTATTTTCTTAATCACCAGAGCCCACTAGATGGTGCTCTTGGTTTCAAGAAAAAGGCTCAAGGAGTGGCAATTCAGTGTGCTTTCAAACCCTTATTGAAAAGAGCAGCCATCTAGTGTGTTCAGAAAATAAAGAAGATGGTTCATGAGGCTTTGTGTGGCCATCACTAGTGTGTGGTTTTGTCTGCTCCAAACAAATGCTAAAAACTTCAAACGTGATGATGTTGCTTCAATTTCAACTTCCATACTCCCAAATTTTTACCATCGACGTATGAGGACAGAACAAAAAACAATTAAGTCCATGTAAGCCCACATGCATCAAAGTAGCTAGCTTAGCAAGCCACTTAGCTTGACAGGCATTTTGGCTAACTTTATCTGCAGTGTTTTGACTTTGCAGGTGATAGAGCTGATCATGTGACCTTCACCTGCATATTACAGATCATATGGTAAACCTGCCTTATCAAGGCTTTTTAAAAGATTAAAATTCCTGCCTTATTTAACTAGAATTACTGCCCCATGGTTGTATGCTTCCATGCACGAGTCAAGTTTTTCTCACAGTTCACATCCTTGTCTGTAAAAAGATGGAATTACCACCAATTACATATCTGACCAAATATTTTCTGAGATAAGATGCTGAGTAATGGACAGAAAAATGTTTTATGCACAACATTATGATGTCACAGATGATGATGATCTTTGACCTTTTGGCTAGAAATTGTCATCACTTCATTCTTTCATCTTGTTAGACTTGAGATATCGTTTTTACATGAATGAGACCGATGCAAAGTCACACTGACCTTGACCTTTGACCACCAAAATCCAACAAGTCTGCATGAATGTTTGTGCCAAATTTGAAGACATTCCCTTAAGTTATTCCTGAAATATTGTGTTCTGAAGGATGGGACTGAAGGATGTACGGACAGATGGACTGACAACTCGAAAACAAAATGCCTCCAGCAACAGCAATCACCAGTGCAGTGGTATAAAATTGTATATCATTTTAATATAAGACGTGTTTACAATAGGTCAGAGGTGGACTCCAGGAACAATCACTGCTCAGGCAGCCTAAATCTGCTGCTGCCAGCTCACGTTAAACTGTCTATCTCCAGCTATTTGTCACTTCCCCCAGGCACCGTAACTCTCTGGACTTGCCGTTCCTTATTCATCCACCAGATGTCCTCAGACTTTTCCTCAAGTACCAGTCACATGACCTTGCATGCTTTGTTGTTTTTTGCAATTGCTGTTGAGCCTCTGATTTCCTGCATCCAGTATCCTGTACTCTCTACCCTGTTACCTGGAACCTGTACTCAACTGCCTGGCCTCCTCCTCCTTCTGAGATTGTTGACTTTTTGGCCTAACCCTTTTGAATAAGTTTGCCTGTTTGGGCTGCCTAGGAGTGTCAGCAGCTTGACCTTTCTCACCTGAGCTGTCCAGGCTATCAAAGCTGTTCCATGTGCTCCCTCATCTCTCCCTTCCTACAGCTGGCATTCACCCTGCATCATCGCCTCATGGTTTTGCACCACAACACCTCCACAGACGTCCATGCACTGCTTTCATTGCTGATCTACCCACCTAATTGTTTGTTTTGTGCCAACCTTATTCCAAAACAAATTTTCAAGGTAAACCTCAATGTAAAACTTTTCTCTGTGACATGCATGGAAATACTGAGCAGTTGTCCACCTACTGAACCTGATTAACGTAGCTAATTAATGCTTCTTTTGGTTTACATGCAACAGCAAAACAAATCATCAATGCACATGGGGAGACTCTGTGACTCTGAGCTGCAGAGACAAGATGTCACTCACCAATCTTCCAGCTGGCATATATAAAGATGGTCTCCTCTTCTACAGGAAACAAGACCATCCATAGTGTCTACAAGTCTCAGGAAGGCCTGCAGCAGTGTAACATCTCTGGAGCTGGAGAATCACTGGGAAGCTGGCTGGCTGTCAGAGGTGAGACCCAAATACATTTAAAAGTAAAAGTTCTACGTTAGATGCATGGCATAGAGTCAGCTTAAAATAAAAGTATTTTCACCTGACGGTAATTCAGTTGCAGTTCCGGCTGGATAATATTAAGAATACCTGACTTAATCAAATCTCATGTTATATGATGCAACAAAGTTTCACCACATTACATATCAGCGTTTCCTTTTGACTGAGATCACAGTTCAAACACGAACATACCTTTACAGACTTAACCCACCCTCTTCATCTGAAGTTTTTAAGCAGTAACAGGTCAAGTGGCAGAATCCTGCAGAGGAAAATTAGGACCACAAGGTATAGCAAGTCTTTTGTGCCTACAGCAATTAGACTGCACAACAATAGATTTAAAAATTCCTAAGCACTTTAAACTATGAGCATATATATGTGAGCATCCCACTATCTTATTTAATCATACATGCTTGTCATGTTTCCTCAATGTTCTTACTGTTTTGTCTGTTTTGTCCCTGTTTTTCTTTTCTAATGTTTTGTATTTATTGTTTTTAATGCTATACAGTAGGCTGTATAACAATGGAATGTGTAATGGTGACCACATGAATTTCCCACTTGTGGGATAATAAAGTTTACCTTGACCTTGACCTTGACCTTGACAGTCGGTGCTGAAATCGTACCCAATGTGATTAATTAGCCAAGGGTCCTCGATTGACATCATGCTGGGCCACGGCTAGAATACTCTATATGCATGCTTTTGTTCAGCTGTTGACAGTTTGGGGCCACTATAGATAGAGATATTGTTTACAAAATGAAGCTTTACCATTTGGAAATGTATATTTGACAAGAACAGGGTACATTTTTATGTTTCATCTTTGTTGTCGTTAACCAGTCTCTTATTAGAAATCGTGTACAACCCAAGTTTTATAGCAAGAATGTGTTTTTGTGGTAACACAGAAAGTAGTTAACATGTTGTTCTTTTAAAAGCTAAGATTATTGTCAGCTTTTGTTTGAAATGTTTTTGTAGTCATGTTCAAATGCAGCATTTACACAATATCATTGCACTCTGACTTGTTAATATACAGCATGTTGATGGTTTATAACATTAAAGCATCATTCAGATCAGTATTAACATATGTCAGGCAGTGTGACCACAAAGGTTCACATCAGGCTCTTGTTGGTTTTCAGAGATAGTGACAGAGTGAGAGCTCTTACTGCTCTGTGGTGTGTCAGCCTATCTGTGTTTCCTCAGTTTTCATTGCCAGCTTAGCCGCTTGTCTAATGTTGATCACTGACAGCCAAGAATTGTTTCAAAAAAATGTTATTAGTACTCTCAGTGCTGTACATTATTGGTCTGGATTAGCTGATGACTTGAATTGGAAAAAAATAGTTGGAATCTTCCACACAAATGTCTCCTTTACAATAAAGTTAAAAGAAGTTTCCTTCAAAATGTTTGTGAAATGTATTCAGTAACAATGCTGCAGCTGTTTTGGCAATGTCTCTACACCAAGCAATTTTTGAAAGACGTGTCCTGATTGATTTTAGTGACTCTGGATTTTCTCTTTTGGTTTTTACAGTGACAATAACACTTAACTTAACGAACTATATATAACCACTTTGATGATCATCCTAGCAAAGTAAATTATTCATAAATCCAAAGTATTGTAAACCTTTATTTTTAGTATTTGAAAATGAAATTAAGCAATACATTAAGAGCATTTTTGGTCTTATACAGTATATTACAGCTTTATATGTTGGTAAAAACAAAACAAAAAACCAAATCGAGACTTTGGTAAAAATACAGGAGGCACACTTTGTGTGTTTATTGGAGGACTTTTTGGATGTTAACTAGCTGTTTATCTTTGCACAAGATCATGTGCTGCAAGGGCAGTATAATCACAGCGAGTATATTTAAAAGCTGCAGCAACTTTCTTTTTGTAAATCCACTTTAAATGTAGATGTGTGAACAGAACAAACAAAACAATGTAGTTTAACAGTCACAGACTGATACCTTTTAAAACAGGCAGTTATGCTGTGAGTTATCTGATGTCTTGCTGCTGCTGCTGTTGATGATGATGATGATGTCTTTTTATGTCATTTATCAAGAATTAAAACCTGTACATTTTTTACAAATACACACAACCTGCAATATTTTCTTATGAACACAAATCCATCATTGTTTTGTCACGAATATACACAACTCCTTCACCAATGCTCTGAAATGCATATCATTACAAAATTGTTGTGTTGAGAGAAACACCATATCACATCCCTTCTTCAGTCGGGTGTCTCTGGTCTCAGCAACCTGTAAAACACCCAAGGACAGACACACAGTGTAACTGTGAGAAAACAAGGCTCTAGATTAACATCAGTTCATGAGTCTCGTCATTACTGGCCCCATTGTTTATTTATATAGTACTGATCACCCACACAAGACATGCGGCTGCAAGGTGTCTGTGTCCTGATAAAAATAATCTAACACGTGCATCGTCGTGAAGTATTTTTATGGTATAGACCATCAGTCTAAGATCAGCCAACACAAGGTGCCACATGGTAAACTGAGAGGCCCATCAACCTTTTTCTGTCTGTGGGTTTGTCGTGTGGTTTTTATCTGAGATGCTAAAAAAGAAGACCTAACTGTCTCACGGGCCTAAAGCTGCTGAGGCACACAGTGTAAAACAGGTTAAAAATGATTTAAGTTTCAAAAATTTAAGATTAATAATTCAATAATTCACAAGATTAATGATTCACTGGCTCTCACCATTTTCTGCAGAAGCACTGCTTCAAACAATATATTTTATACATATTTTCCTTAACTTTTACTAAGGTATTACATGTTGCATTCTGTGTTTCTCAGTGTTGAGTTACTTACCGCTCTTCCTGCTGGGTTTTGACGACAGTATACGTTGTCACTGAAACATAAAAGTATAAAAATACAACACTTTAAACAGTCAGTAGCAGGCAGGTATAGGCAGGCATTTTTTGACAAAATGGATACCTGGATTATATAAATCTATTTTATATCAGCAAATGGATGCACTGTTTTTAGCCCAATGTTGTGTTCATGGTTCATAGATGTAGAGTTTAAAACATGATATTCCAAAGTCGTCAAATACTGCCGCTTTGTCAGTAATCTCTGCATCAGATACTGACGCTAACAGCCACCTTTTGCGGCAGTAAGAAAGGCCTCCAGGCAACGTCAGTTGGTAACGCGGATGGAATCAACCTTTTGTGGTGTTATGATCATTACCGGTCAGCCGTACAGCACCTGCTGCCACAGTATGATACCTTTCATACAGGTGGCGTCAGCTCATGATGCAGCTGGATGGCACCTGTCACAGTGGTATGATACACGTCTAGACAGCATCAGTTTGAAACGCTACTGGTAACAACAAAACATAAGGAGCAGGACAGTTTCTATAGGGCAGGCGTGAGAGGTGGCGGATGGGTCCAGCAAACCTGGACTTTCACCCTGGAGCCCAGTGGTCACTTCCTGTATGAATGCAGAGCCAAACTATGGTGTTTTTTCAAAACCTAACCATGTGTCGTCATCCCGTAACATCGGCAGCGAATACAGAAGAATACCTACCACGCAATAGGTAGACATGAAAGACAAAGCGGCAACAGGTGACGATTTGGGATGAGAATGCATTGATAATTTCAATGGTGACCAAATACACGCTTATACAGTAGTTGTGTTGAAAGGAGGTTGGTGTTTCTCACCTGATTGTATAGAGGTAAAAGACTGGAAGCAGAAAGGAGAGGTCGGGGTATCTGTTTGAATGAATAAGAAAAACCACCAAAACAAATTGAGTGAACAGTGTGATGGCTATCAGGAACCCCCAGAGCAGCTTTGGTTCTTACTGTCGGCTATGCTACTAGTTTCAAACACATGCAGAATAATTGTATTGTATTGTGTCACAATTGTCACATTCTACAATGAAGATCCCACTTTTAGCACTTTGTGACAGTAATTACAGTGGTATCTTTATTCTCTGTACCTGTGGTGATTGTCTGATGTTGCCCACATTGCAGTATTCCCACCAACAGCACTAGAGCCACCAAGAAAACACTGACAGCAGTGCAGAGCAGCAGAGGGAGGTGAAGGCCACGATGAGGCTCTTCACCAGCTGCTGGAAAGAAGAAAATGGTATGTTCTGCATATGAGACATGATCCTAATGCTGTAAATACATGTTAGGTATGAATATAATACTTAAAACATAGTCCATGCAATTACACTGTTCATTCCTTAATTCAGCACTGATCTGAAAATGTTAAGGACAACCTCAGACCTCAGCTTCAGTTCTTGGACATCAGTCATCATTTTCAGACCAAAAGGTTCGGACAAAATGTGGCCAGATACCGTGAAAAGCAAAGAATTTCAGGTTTATTTTAAACACTGGTATGTCTTACCTCTGACAATCAGCCAGCTCGCTGATGATTGTCCATCTTCAGGGATGCTGCACGTGTAGAGTCCTTCATCAGTCTTGGAAACACTGTTGAGAGTCAGGTTTCCCATAGAGCTGTTCTCCATTAAGTGGCCATCTTTAAAAAATGCAGCTGTGAGGTTGGATGACATCTGCTTGTTTCTGCAGTGCAGAGTTACATCATCTCCCACCATCACAGGAAAAGCAGGACTCTCCAGGATCACAGAGCCACCTGAACATATGTTTTGAAAAATATGTTAATTAAGCAGTTTGACAGCCTATTGAGGGAACAAAGCTGGCCAGCATGGCAGATGTTTCCTGTGTTTTAATATCTTAATAAGTAATGTTTTATTGAGCATATTAAGTCAGTTAACAAATAAATCAATTGATATTCAAACTGAGATGTCCACAGACTAAAACTGTGACGACTTTGCACTACTTAGCGTTTTAGTATTTGCATACCAGTGACAGTGATGTTGACAGTGTTGCTTTTCTTTGCCTCTCCCATTTCACACCAGTATTCTCCACTGTCAACTGCCGCTAAGGCATTCTTTATTTTACAGGGTCCTGTTGACGTTGACCAGGAAGCAGCACATGTTTTAACATCACCTCCGATCCTCCTCACCACTCTCCATCCAGTCAGTCCCTCCAGACCCTCACAGGTGACAGTAATGGGCTCATATTCAAAGAACTGCTGTCGGTTTGGAACAACCTGAGGGAAACCTGCATCTGACACAGAGACACAAAGGATGAAGAATAATTTGAAATTCAGCATTATTTATGTACACATGCTATACTGAATACATATGCACAGTACAAGCGTCCTTTTAGGGAAAATTAAAAAAATGTGTATTTCTCTTTGTCGAGATAACTGCAGCAACATCAAAACAAAAATGTTTGCCACAAAATATTGAAATTATTTTAACATGTGGACACAGTTGTGCCAACAGACCTGACTTTTGACAAGCGGTAAGAGTGTTGGCTCATGTTTGAGTAAAACATGAGGGAACAAATGTATGTTTCCTTTGCTTTATAACTAGTATGCCATTTCACACGTACTAGTTTTAAGTTATCACTTATACAGTTGACGTTTAAAGTTTCAGCATGTTAGTTGTTAAACTTGCAGCCCTTGACTATCAAGATGAGGTGATATGATTCATTTGGCACTTATTTAAGATGTTGGTATACATTGTAAGGTTTGTCTGACGATCAAACTGCAACTTACCAACATTTTTAGAGTAACTGCATTCAACATGTGCAACCAGCAGCAACAAAACAGTCATCACTGAAGAGACAAGAGAGCTGTTACTGTATCCAATATAACCTATAACATGTTTTACATAACTAACATGTAAATGTCTGTAATATTTGATCCATCATCAGTGAGCAGATTACAATTCTCTTTATTCCCTGGGCTTTAAATCTGCCAGCTTCCTGAAAGAATACATGTCAGCACATTTTGGATGCTTAATATCTTTTTGCCTTTGAGCCCAAGAAATGATTCAGTTCCACATAAGATATTTCCCAGTGACTGACTCGATATATTTCTGTGATCATTAGACTCAGTACTCACACAGTCTGATGCAGAGCGCTGTGACCTCCATGATGTCTCGCTGCTGACTGTCTGAAAATCAGACTGGATTTAAGATGTAATGTAAGTCAGAGCCTCCTCTTCCTCTTCCTGTTGCTCTGCTGCTGAGGAAACAGCTTTGAGTTTGAAAAAAAGTACATCTATAATCTCACCAGATGGCGCCAGAGAACCCAGTGTGACGAGAACATAATTTTGGCAAACAGGAATGTTAAGGAAAGAACTCAGGTGAACAGAAAAAAATAGATAAATAATAAAAATGATAATAACAACAACATCAAAAATAACAATTATTGTTGTTATTGTTATTATTATTACAGTAATGTAGTCTGAAGCACAATTTAATACAAAATATTTTATTGAACATCAGTATTTTTTAGTACTGTATTAAAACAAAAACATATGAAAAGAAACAGATGATAAAACACTAACAAAAAACATGTTGTGTAAAGGTACCGTCTTTTCTAATTTTTGCTGTATTTTGTTGTCTCTGTCCCTCACACACACACAAACTCACTCACTTGTGAAGTCAAATAGTCTCACTCTGCCCCCTGCAGTAAATCAGTCTCATATTACACCGTATAAAAATGTACACTGACAACACGTCCCTGTTCCACTAACCTGTTACTGTAGTATTTGATACAGCTGCCAACTACTGCAGATAACAGGTCCAGAGTTCAGTTTCAACTGTAAAAACAGGTCATAAATTAACAGACTGAAAGGAAACAAAAGTAAAATTTAATTTAAAGCAAAATTGATAATTATTAAATTAGATATCTCATTGTTGTAAAATGATATTACAACGCAGCAGCAACCACAACATGTAACTTTTGTCTTGTCTCTCAGAGCAAAATGTAAGTTTTATAGGCCAGACCTTCCAGATTTTAAAGATACTAAATGATACACTACAGTATATTTCATTGCTTTTTTTCCATAACTGGATATAAGATAATAATGTTGAGTTAAAGTCCAGTATATTTGCACCATGCTTGCATCTATGGGAGACCTCCAATCCCAAATCATGTTGACTTACCAGCATTGTGAGAATAGCTGTCCTTGACTTGTACAAGCAGCAGCAGAACAACTGTCACTGGAAAGACAAACGTTTTTTTTTTAACATTTCAGATACTAACACTGTTTTAATGTAAATGTATGCCTGTCATTAAAATAATAATTAAACAATAATATTATGACAGTTATTGTTACAATGCTGCACAGACTCAGAACTCACACAGTGTGATGCAGAGAGCTGTGACCTCCATGTTGGCTTGCTGCTGACTGTCTGAACATCACACTGCATTACAGTTCACATACAGTTCAACATTGGTGAGCACTTCCTCTTCCTGTGCAGCTTATTTCTGGTGCACGAGCCTCTCTGTGAGACAGAGCTGCTCTGACAAAACTAACAGTAAACCTTTATTAATAACAGATTTTTTGTTTGTTTGTTGTTTGTTTTAAACCCTTGTTTTCACGTGAAATCTGACCATATTATTTATTCAGTTAGCATGTTAATACTGTCATTGTTAACATGTTGCTATGTGGATGTTTATAGCATTTAGCTCATTGCACTTCACTACCTACAACGAATATTGTTTGGTTACATTGTAACCTTGGTTCTCTAAGTGAGGAGATTATTTCCCCATCCAGTAGTTATATCATAACTATGCGAATTATCCCCATCTGGGATAATCGACATGGAAAATGAATAATCTTTATTAGTAAAGCTGCAGCAGTCGGCTCATCTCACTGGGTTTCAGAACAGAGAGTTTCAGGAGATCCTTCGTCCCCACGGCAGTAAGACTGTTTAACACCACCTGAATCCAGTCACACACACTCACACACACTCACACATGTCGCATTAGCCACAACTGGACTGGGCTGTGGAGTGAACAATTTTATTTTAATTTAATTTCTATTTGTGCACAACACACTACTGTGTTGCTGTTGATGAGGGGAAGTGTGGTTGTTTTTTATAAGCTGCTGGACAGCTGAATTTCCCTTTGGGGATAAATAAAGTTCTTTCATTCTATTCTATTTTATTCTATTCTATTAAATATTAACTGTAAGCCAATTAACGGTTTAATACATCCATGTGACAGTTCAAGTAAGAGCGTTAACATTTTTTAGGCCCTGCGGTTGTAAACTGTGTGTGTCTGCTTCAAGTCAAACAGACGTACTATAAAATAATCATTGCAGTAAACCACAGTGAGTGTATTTAACATCTGCAGCAGCTCTTTCCTCATAAACAGCATCGTTAGACGTGTGAATAGGCAGAGCAGCGAGAACAATGTGGTTTAACCGATACACCATAACAACACGCTCCCCCTTAAAAATATACCTCGATGCTGTGAGTTAGCTGAAGATGCAGATAGGTTATAATACTTTAAATAGCCTGCAGTACTCAAAACTGTGCAAACTGTACAGCTTTTTAACAACTAACTGTGAGCCGTACTGTGCATGATCATAAATCAAGAAACTCACACCGTGTTATTCGGTTATTGACTTTTTTTTGTGTATTTGTTTTTTGAATATTTTCTACAGAGGTGTCATGAATATACAGAATATTTCAACTAAGAAAGTTTAACATTTTAAAAGAGAGGTAATTTGTAACATAATGAAATACTTCAAGTGAAATACTGCAAACACTTCTGTTGCAAGTGTTGTTCCTCCCTTATTCAGTATCTGCTCCATCTGTCACGTGCAAACGCCAGCCGACCTGGAAGACATACAGGTTGGAAATTTATGTCAATACAGTGATAAAATAAGCCTACTTAAAGAAATCCCTTAAAATGAAATATGTAACTTTTTGTTGTCTGGATAAAGTACTGTGGTATTTCACTGGCACAATGCGAAATAACTTAGTCCAACCAGAGTCCTGCAAAGTAAGTATTATGTCATTGCAGTATCTGCATCATCCCCAGCCCTGTCGTGCACCTACTGCATGGAAGTCAGTCTGACACGCTTCTCATAGAGAAGCTTTGGCCCTGCAAAGCAATTTTTTCCCCATCTGAAAATGCCGAGCTTGGAGCATTTGAGAGCGCTTTGGGGGCACTGCGTTGTTGTTGTTTTTTTAGCTGGGATGCTTTGGTTGTGTCTGGTTGCTATGATACAGAATACATGATACAGAAACATGTTGGTCCAAGCTGGAGTACTTCAGTTCAACTCAATTCAATTTATTTGTTACATGAAATCATAAATATGATTTCAGTAAAATGACTGGTTGTCAGCTCCTTCAATATTTAGAAGTGGTAGGAATAAATAAATGTCAAAATTGAGCACGGTCACACTCAGAAGTTGTCAAAATCAGGCTCTTGGGCAGTGACTTACAGTGTCAGAAAGCAACGAAAAAGGTCTCCTTTAATGTCGGTATGATACACAGAGGGAAACACGACAGGATAAGAACAGAAGTTAAGGTGGCGAAAGTCCAAGTGGGGCAGGAGGGGTTGTGGAATGAGTCCAACAAACACCAACCTTGACCTGGAAGAGTGGCGTTCACATCCTGCAAGATTCTAAAGCCAGACCCTGTTCTTTTTTTCCTAAACCTAACCACAGGCTTTTGTTGCCTAAACCCAAAAATGTGTTTTTGTTGTTGAAGGAAAGAAACATCAATTTGCAGTGCTGTACCAACGTAGTGCTTTTATTTTGAAAGAGACAGTATATAAATGCTGAATTTCCTGTGAAAACAGAAGTGTATTTTGAAAGACAATGCATGTAGCAGGCTGATGTTGACACAATGTCCCAGGGTACCTTGCACATTGTATATGGACGTGGAAATTCCATGACCAAACGTCAATATGTGACGAGGTCGGAGTGAGAATGTGCAGGATCATTCAGTATTGAGTTATACTTGCTGTGGATGAGGGAAAGGCTGGAGCGTGCAGGGAGAGACGACAGACCCACGGTACTGTGTTGGCTTATGAAAGGAAACATCACACATACAGTACATTAAAACATTTCTCCTCCATTGTTATTGTTGTTTGACACTTGTATATGCAAGATGCTAAGGTTTGTCTTCACAGTAGGCGATTTGTCCCTCTTCCATTGTGATTGAACCGCTGAAGTCACAGTGATGAGCGCAGCTTTTTACCCGAACATTTTTCAACTTTTGTGGTTATGGTTTTGGGAAAAAAGAACTGGGTTTGGCTTTATGATTTTAGGGTTCACAAACACTGATGAAAGTCTGTGTTTGTTGGACCCACCCAGCACCCCTCATACACACCCTACTCTGACTTTCGGTGCCTTAACTTTTTTTTCTTGTCCCACCGTGTTTCCCCCTGACGCCGCTGTCCACCATTAAACTTTAATGGCGAACCGCCGTGTATCATGCCGTTAAGGACAGCTTTTTTCATCATTGTCCAATGCGGGAAGTCACTACCCAAGCACTGAATTTCAGTGACTTCAGAGTGAGTCCAGATTTAAAAAGCTGACTGTATACCAATATGTGTTCCTCACCTGCTTGTGCAAGAAGAGATCGCCAAAAAGAGATCAGGGTACCTGCAAGAATTGACAAAACAAAAACGTTATGTGACTTAAGAAGGTCATGGTCCAAAAGGTAACATCAGAACCGCTCTGTAAAATCTACTGAGAACATAACAACTAATTTATTTATTAATTTATTTTTCCTCAGTACCTTTCTTCCAGTGAAGCAGTCCCAACACCAACACCAGAAGCACAAATGAAATGATACCAACAATCTGTAGAATGGTGCTTTTAGAGCAGCATTTATCATTTGATTGTAGGTCTTTGTGGAACCCTGGAAGAAAAATCGTTATCATTGACACAGGAAGCTGCATATTAAGAAGAATTTTTGGCTACATGTGTGACATTGTTTATGTCTCACTTCTGACAGCAAGCCAGCTTTCTGCTGATTCTTCAGTTTGAGAGATTCTGCACTTGTAAAATCCTTCATCAGACTTAAAAACACTCCGGAGAGTCAGGTGTCCTGCAGAATTACCCTCGATAAGGTCGCCATCTTTATAGAAATAAGCTCTAAGGATAAAGGTCTTCTTATTTCTACAGTGCAGAGTCACAGCATCTCCCACCATCACAGGGGTGACAGGACTCTCCAAGATCACAGAACCAGCTGAACAACACAGATGAAAAAGATATTATTAAATGTCCCAAATATGTTTTGTGCACTCTCAGAATATAACCATAAATACAATATGAGTTCCTAATCATACCAGTGACGGTGATGTTGACAGTGTTGCTTTTCTTTTCTCCAGTCTCACACCAGTATTCTCCACTGTCTAATGAAAAGGCAGGGTTAATTTTGCAGGATCCCGTTGACGGCTTCTCTTGAGCAGCACATATTGTGATGTTTCCCTTGATCTTCCTCATCACTTTCCATCCATTCACCCCATCCAGCCCCTCACAGTTGACAACAAAGGAATCATATTGATAGTGCTGCTGTCTGTTTGGATCAACACGAGGGAAAACTACATCCATAGCAGAGACACAAAGAATGAGATGTGGTCAATTACAAGTATCTTTTAACATAAAAAAATATGTTCTAGTCCAACAAAATGATTTTAGTACAAAGTTAAAACACTGCCGAGGACATTGCATGTTGAGAAATTGCTAATTGTTAAGTGTCCACTGGATGTAGCCACAGAACAGGAAAACATGCCCCTACTGGAGAGGAACTGCTGCTTGTCCAGCCGCCAGCCAGTATGCCAGTGTACACTGGACAAGTGAGCTGATGGTGGTGTCGATAGTAGCTATGGCTTTCACAGGCTCGTGATAGGAAGTTAGTACATGGTTGCTTGATGGTTGCTCTGTTGTTAAGGGTGGTTGCCAGGTTGTTCCTAGGGTGTTTTGGACGAGAGAGTGCTGCATGATTGCCAGGGCTTTGTATGTGTTTGTAGCAGTAGTAGGGGGACGGGTCATTGTTCTGACAGCTCATATTTCCATGGCACCAGTTGAAAAAATGGAAAATGGACCACTGGACCCGAAGCACAGTTGTCTGACAACCTGGTATTCTGAAAACAAACGTGCATTGCTCTGAAGGATATACACTCTCCCAAAACAGAAGCACATGGCTATTATTATGCGACATGACACCATCGGACTCATCCCAGGTCGTCACAAATCGCCACTTTGTCTGCGGCCTTTCACATCTACATATTACATGCTATGTATCCTTTCTCTGTCAGCTGTTGAATGCTAACAAAAAACACATGGTTAGGTTAGGATAAGGCAACAAAACCATGTGGTTAGGCTTATATAAACAAAAAACATCATGGTTTAGCTCTACATTCATACAGGAAGCAAACACTGGGATCAAGGGTAAAAGTCCAGGGTTTGTGGGAGCCATCCACAACCCCTCCTACCCAGGAGAGAGGGAGCCAGATTAAAGTTGGGTCATACCTTCTGCGCAATGAGCATTTGTTTTTGATACTGGTCTGTTGGACAAACGGCCTTCAGTTCACTGGGACATTTTACAGACTGTTGGGGCTTGGTAATTGTGAGCCCTTGGAATAATGTTATGGCACCAACAGCAGTATGCAGTAGTAATTTAGTAGTAGACTGACAAGATGAGAAGCAATAGTAATTTTCAGTGGTTCACAGGCCTTTGTCCGAACAGGCAGCTTGACATGTGATAACATATGTTACATTTTGTTTGCAGTTATAATGGAGGTGAGTGGGATAAATGTCATCTGCCATTTGGATGGTCATATCTGAAGAAACACCTTTCTTTGCAGTTTCTTTCACAGGGTAAATCACAAAGTAATTAATTACTACTTACCAGCTTCCTGAGAAAAACAAAGGTGCATCTGAGCAACAGCCAGCAGCAACACATTTATCACTAAAGACACAAACGAAGTGAGTCGACATACAGCAGGAAACAGATGCTTTTCTATTCAGATTCTTATCATTTAGTTTGTACTCCATATTATGACGTTTTGTAATGTCTTAACAGCAGCTTAATATCTCAACCCTGCCTCACGTTCAGGCAACAAAACACATTGGTTGGCAAAGTGGTAGTTTGGATCGAGCCGCATGAAGGTAAATATGAGCAGTCTCGTGCTTCAATTTTTCATTTTCAACCAAAATGCTAACTTTAACTCAACTTTTTACAGTGCTTTGATTTATCTAAACAACCACAGATATACTAATTGTGCTCATTGATCATTGTTACATTCTCTTTCCCAATCTGACAGCACATACTGCAGAGAGAAGTACAACTGTATTAATCATATTGGAGACCGTCCCAGTACTCACACAGTCTGATGCAGAGAGCTGTGACCTTCATGGTGTCTTGATGCTGACTGACAGACCAAATAGCAGCTGGAATGTGATGTAGGTGAGAACTCTCTCTTTCTCTGCAGCTTGTTTCTGGTGACAGACGCAGCAGCTGGTTTGTGGTTTCTGCAAGAGAGTGGCTGTGTGTGACAGTCTGAAGCACTCTTCATTGTTAATATTTCTAAACTTTCATGGCCATGCTGACATCATCTAGGAAACTAGCTAGGATCTACAAAAGCAGATTTGGGAATCTCTTTATCAAACTGGGTTTTTTTTTTTCACTTTTGTCACCAGCAGCCACTGCGAGGAGAGTCTTTGGGACATGGTACTTTAGTTTTTCTCACTCTGCAGCAGAACCATCATGTCCACTCTTTACCTCTTGCAGCAGGAATAAACTGGGCTCCTCTGCTCTCTTTGTCGCCATGTGTGCTGTTGAAGACAGTCTCCTACTGTCCACACTGTGCTGAACTCACTCGTGATCAGTCCCACTCTGCCCTCTGCAGTAAATCAGCCACTTAACACACCATTGTCACAGGCTTCTCTTTTAACTATTTTCCCCATTTGGCTCAACAAACATTATTTTAGCGCCATGGCTTCCTTATTTCATAAAACATAAGTGCAGCTGGAAGTATTGTACTTTCATTTTATTACTTTAGTAATACAGAAACTAAAGTGTGCTGTCCCAGTGTATCCAGCCAGTGCTTGCTTTAGAATAATATCAGATTTCACTCCGTCTCTCACTCGGTGAGAGGTTAAAGTACACAAGATTTTATTGGTGGACTTCGACTGTGCATTTTTTCCACTAAGGTGAGGCGACTTCCACTTACAACAGGTATGTTATACATATCATTTTCAGGGTTTAATACTTTTTGATAAGTTCTCAGATGTGTCATGTGGTGTGTTTTCAGAATAAACCAATCGGCCATCGCTCATTCCTTTTGAGGGATCTTTTTTTTTTTAATAATGGTGACTCATAGGAATAGACAGTAAATAACAGCGAGCTAGTGGTGCATTAATCCTAAAAATATTGTAACTTTGAAAAATTCAACAGCGTTGGAATTTAAACAATCATGCAAGTCACTGTGTGTTAACCAGTTTATTATGAAGTCTTTTGCTTCTGAGCTTTCAGTGACTAGCACTTTGAGATTATTTTATAATGTAAAGTGCGTTACAAATAAAATGTATCATTATTATTATTATTGATTACAGTCAACATGTAGTTATATTTATGGAAGAGACTGCATAGATAAAGTACAGGGAAGTTACATTTATACAGTAAAGAGTAAAACTGGACACAGATCAGGGCATCAGTGGTTTAGTGAATAGAGCAGGCGCTGCATGTACAAGGCTGTTGCCGCATTGGCCCGGGTTCGACTCCAGCCTGTGGCCCTTTGCTGCATGTCATTCGCTCTCCCCCCCCCTTCACGCATACCTGTCCCAAAAAATATCTTTGGAAAATGAAATAAACAGTTCTTCACATTTGTGTGTGAACATGGACATAAAAATAAAAAAAGAAATGAGCTGCAGAGGAGTATGAAGGTGGGGGTTGCTGCTACCTTATAACAGTCCACAGAAAGTGTTTCAGTCATGTTTTTCAGTCGTCCGTCTCACACATATCTGATGGAACAGATATGCTTATATTTCAGTGAATTCAGTACTTGACACATGCTGTGACAGCTCGCATTTCACTCCTGTTATATATGTAAATGTGACCTGGAGTGTTTCTTTTTTAGATGTTAGGTCTATTTTCTCCATTTTATATGCATAACTACGATGATTGTGTTCGGGCTCTTGCTGCTGCCAAAATGCAGATGACCTCCATTCGATACTGTGCCAGAACTCATCCTGTGTAGACACATATGATGTGCCAGAAATGCCAACACATTCTCATCCCCATTCCATCAAATAGCACCACTTTGTCAGTGGACCTAAACATCAAGAAATAATGTGCTAGGTTGCCTCCTGCTTTGGTTTTGGGTGTTCACAGACGTTGCCATTGGCATCAGAAATCGCCGGTGCTCTGTATGATGGTATCTGATGTGGAAATCATTGCCAAGACAGTGGTATTTTGGAGTGGGAACAGACTGGAAATGCATGTGGTCACTTAAAGACAAATCAATTTGAGCAAGTAGACTGCCTTCAGTTTTTATAGCTTCAGTTTGAATACATATGTCAATTTTGACCGATCTACTCTTTTGTCTTACAGTTACAGTCTGAAGAAAATGAAGATGATTCACCTGATAGACGGACTGTCCCTCAGGTCACAGCTCACTGAGTTCAGTGCTTTGGCTGTTCATTATGCTGTTGCCTTCCTTCTCATGACGCACTCATGTATTGGTATGTTACACACAGATACATCAGTTTAGCCTTGGTGTAAAATAATAGTCATACAGTGACATCACAGTCATGTGAGGACAAAAGACTCAATTTCTGTAGCCATCTTTTTATATGAAACAGAACAGTGGTAAAAATACACAGCTAAACAAAACTCAGCAATTTCTTTGCAGCATTGTTTGTGTTATGTCACAACAAACAATAAATTGTTGTTCAACCTAACAAAAAAGACAAAGTTGTTCATATCACATTGACAGACAATGAGCAGGACATTATAAGACAGAGGTGTTTCTTCCTCAGGTCAGTCTGGGATGATTAGTCTGTCTCAGCCAATAGTGGCAACGGTTGGTGATGACATAATTTTGCCATGTCGTCTGGAACCTGCCGTGGATGTGGTATCTAGGGCTGTGGAGTGGGCAAGACTCGACCTGAACCCCAGGTTTGTCCATGTGAGACGAGACGGTGTGGAGCTTTTGATTGACCAGAATCCGTCCTACTTGGGGAGGACATCGATCCCAGTCGACAAACTGAAGTGTGGGGACGTGTCATTGAAACTCTCTAAACTGAAACTGTCTGATAATGGAACATACAGATGTTACATTCCTGAGCTGAAAAAAGGCTTTACTGTTCAGCTTATTGTTGGTAAGTGTGCACTGATCATTTTGGACTACCTCTGGACATTTTTTACAAAATTCTTAATGTAGGTCTAATGGTAATGGCTATTTATTTTAATATTTTTTGTGCACAATATTTGATTAAATATTGACATCATTGATTTTACTGAAGCCGTTTTGTTATGTGGTTTTATGTGGAAACTTCACATCTTCTGTTTCCCTTCTAGGTGTTTTCTCTTCCCCAAGCATCAGCATTGCCAGAGATAGCGGAGCTGCAGTGATGTTAGACTGTAAGTCTGCAGGCTGGTATCCAGAGCCTGAGGTGTTGTGGCTGGACGGTGAGGGAAAGCTCCTCTCTGCTGGACCTACAGAGACAGTCAGAGGTCCTGATGACCTCTATACTGTCAGCAGCAGAGTGACTGTGGAGAAGAGACACAGCAACAGCTTCACCTGTAGAGTCCATCAGAGGAACATCAGCCTGACAAGATACACACACATCCATGTTGCAGGTAGACAAATAATAATAAAATCAGGATTTGATTACTGGCCTAATGTCAAACTGTTGAAGCTTAGTATGAACCAACAAGTGCTGTGTTTTGCCTTTTTAATCATTCCAGATAATGTCCTCGTGGTCCCATCTTGCTTCACTGTTCGTGTCAGCATTAGCCTGGCTGCTTGCTTCATTTCTGTCCTCACAGTCATCTTTATTGTGAAGACATGCGGACTGAACAGTAAGTCACTGTTGTCTTTATTAATTTTGATTTTAATGACAACTGACTGTCACCACTATTGAATGATGTTAATGTTAAAATTATAATCTGTAAAAAAATTAATAAATACATTTTAAAAAAGAGAATTTGATGCATGCTTTTATGTATACAGAGACCAGTGCGCCCCATGAGAGCATACAGACTGAACTTGGAAAAAGAGAGAAGATCCCAGCATCCAGAACCACCACGGAGCGTCAGTCCATGACTGAAGGAACAAACAGAGAGAAGCTCATGGGAGAAGGGAATGAGAAAGCTGATGGTTTGGACGAGACGGACACAGACCTCAAGGGAGGCTTACTGGGGGCACATTTAGACCAGGTAATTAGGAACTTGGAGGACCAGAAGACTGCTCTGGAAAAACAGATAGATAAACTCAAGTCAGGACAGCTGGAGGTGCAGAAACAGATATGGGAGCGCGAGAAGAAGCTTGAGAATCCTGCCTCATTTGACAGAGAGAGAAAACAACAGAAGCGTGAAGCAGCAAAAAAGGAACTAGAGAAGAGAAAACAAGAACATGACGAACTGCTACAGACCATGGAGACTCTACTGGAGACAACAAAGGAGGTAATTACTAATATGAAACAAATAAAGGAAAAACTAGAGAAGGATAAGTAACAAATAAATAAACATCTGAAGGAGAAACAGACAAATTTACATTGAGGAAATAATTAAGGCTGAGCAGTCAAACAAAAAAGCAACAGACAGACCAAAAAGGTCATTCATCAGGTACAAATATTGATTTTGTATTTCTTGATCTACAACTAAAAATCAAACTGTTAAAAGGCATAAAAAAGCAAAACAAAACCAGGAGAAGGCTATTCAAATGTGTGATTTGTTTAGATACATTGTAAACAGGTTAAAGCCGCTTTTTTGTTTCTTCTTTTCAGATCAGACAAAATCTCTCAGTTTCAGTAACTAACTTGTCAGAATATATTGTTAATCAGATTTTTACTCAGATTTTGATTTTGTAATAACCAAGTATGCTAACACTTCTGTCTTTTTCAACTGTATAATATTGCTTAAAATGTGAGAATAAAGTTTTGTATTTCCTAAGAGAGAATCTGCACTCTTGATTTTTGTAAGACAGTCAATGTTTCAGTATACCATTAGCATCAACATGTTTGTTCAGATTTGTTTATCAGGTGATTACAGGAGCAGACCATCTCCAAGTAGGAAGATAGGGCATGCTTAAACAAGTGATGAAATTGATCTAATATTGACAGCTAAGTTATTCCAGTCTGCTGGGGCTGTTAATGTAAAAGCTCTTTTACCAAATCTGAACACTCAGAATAGACCTGATGGTATGAGGTAAAATGCACAAGATACAGTTTTAGATGGTGGGGATAATTGACATAAATACATATGAAAAAAAAGTGGAAGCTGGTGAATGTGTTCTCTTACATTTAGAGATTGCCATTTAAGCGCATTATACATTGTACAATGATGAGTGAGAAAAGGACAACAATGTATGCTGCGTTAAGTGGAACAACATCTGATTTAAATGCGTTCTGATAGACAACATCACAACTGTCGAGAATAAGCAGTATGAGTTGAGAGGCAAGTTTTGTGTGTGAAGTAGTTTCAAAAACCATGTAGAACACTGAACACATGGGCCGACTACTAATAAATGCATAAATGATAATAGTCATTTCTATGTTCTGCTCAGGACAGATTAAAACATATAGGTTTTTCCTTTAGACCAAACAATACAGCCATTGTTCAAAATCACTCACTACTCACTATATAGTGAGTTTGCCATTTTGTATTTCTGTTCTTAAGTGTAGTGGGATATATTGTACCCTATATAGTAGACTCAAAGTATCACATTGTGCATCTTGAAAAGTAGTGTCTAAACATCAATTTTTAACTCAAACATGAAAATTATAATTCAATATCCATGTCTGAACTGAACTTAAGGAAGGTGATAATTTGCAGTTGGATCAGCTGTTGTTCTTAATGGTGCATGTGTCTTGTAATACAGTTTTTCACATGTATATTTTTATTACAATGTTTGGTCTCTGGAGGGCAGCATTGAGCTACAAATGTCCCCATGCTTGAGGACATATAGACCCATTAGGAATGGACGTCATGGTTAAGATGAAAGTTTTAGAATTCAATGTTGAGTTGAAGCATCAGCACAATATACATCATCATTAGTGATGATCGAGTCCTGTGTTCTTTTGAAGTTGTGACTCTGAGCCAACAGTTGCATGTTCTTGTAGTGTAAAATCTAAGCTGCACATCAATGATCTAATGGAAGGGAAAGAAGACACAATGTGAACAGACCTTAACTATCTACAGACTGGATGAAAAAAACATTTTATTGAAGGACTTTGACCGAGCAGCTTTTGAGAGAGATACAAAGGGTGTGAGGACATTTTGGTGAAAGTGAAAGAAACATGTTGTTGCAGCATATCTAGCTGATACTTGGATTAAATATTAACATTTTTACTCTTATGGGATAGAAAAAACCAACAGTCTGTAAAATGCTTTCATGAAATTTGATTTTCTTTGCTCATTTTCTTTTTCAGTTGTGCTTTCTGTCTATCCAAGCAGCTGACAATAATTCACTTTGGGTTTTATTTGAACATTTCAGGGTGTTATAGGTCAAAGCATAAAAGTAAAAAAGACACTCATGCAGTTAACAGAGGCATGCATATTCCCTTTGCATTGAGATTATGAGCTAAAACCTTGTTCCTCTCGGATAATTCTTACTTGATTAATTAATCATTAATCCTGGCTGCAGCAAATACAGAGAAAAACAAATAAGGTGAACAAACACGTGAACAAAGACTTTCCAGGAGGGTGCTGAGCAGGAAGCCGACTTTCTGCTGCGATGAACTGACTTGTTGACGCACTCCACTGAGGTATGTGAGCTTTGGAAAACAGTAAATACCTGTTTTTGAGTTTCTTGTTTCGTGTCGAAAATAAATGAGTCATTGAAATTTGTGAGGAGACGTTCTAGTGACAGTTGTATCAGCATCGTTAGCTTTAAAACGCCAAAGACACAATATATTTACATAGTAAACTCGATTCACCCTGGTGGTGATTCACTTAAATGTTAAAATATTGCATGTTAGGTCATAGGGTTATTATTGAGTGGTTGATGGATGTGATTACAACGTTAATGATGAATAATGTTGTATCAGTGTTGCATGCATACCTTTTCAGAAACTTTTTTTTCTTTAATTTTAACAACTTTATTTCTGTTTTCAGAACTCCAGGATGAGGAAGGACAGACGGACCCATATGATGTGGTTACTTTTACTTTGCATATTGCTCCTAGACTCATGTACAGGTAACAAACACAAAACCATACGAAAACATTTAAAAGTTCTCACCAGTGGGCTACTTGAAACATCTATAATGTGTTTCTGAGAATATGCTTTGTTTGTTTTAAATGGCAAGGCTATTTTTAAGTGCAAAGTTTAGTTTAAATATCTGGTTCATGCTAATTGCTCCCAGTATTTAAATCATGCAACATATATGTCATATGCACTATCAATACCTTTCATATTGATTTATTTTACTGCTGCAAAACTCCTTTTATCTGTAGCAGAATGACATTACTTGTTCTGCAGTTCTTAAGTTTATTTAATCAAAAATATAATGCAGGTAATAGGTTAGTTCCCAATCACACTCTTGCCTACTAAAACTGTATCAACTGTACATTCATATCAAGGCCTACGTGAAACCTACACAATTTAAGTCCTCCTTAATTATTGTGTTTCTATCCCTTCTTCCCCTCATGCATGTTTTACCTCACTGAATATCACTTTGGCATCTAAGTGCCTCACTGTGCTACATACTCTAGATCGATAACACAAGCATATATGTTCATGCAATTTCGAGAAATTATAATGTCTGAAGACAGAGGAAGAACTCAGAAAATGCATGCAAATAAGCAAAACCAAGGTACAAGGAATCTTCACCCATTGAAAGCAGATGCATGGCATTAAAGACAACAACAGAACCTCAGTCTTCCCCTTAGCTTCATCAAAGAGCTTTTGGTCCCTCCCCAGCTGGCACTAGATGTCAGTATGACATCAGAAAGACTTTTTACGTTAAACTAGACGTTAAACTATTGAATGAAAATCATGTTGACTACATCTTAATTATTTAATGACATTAGAATTTCATTTTTGTTAACATGTTGATGTTAACATTGTGAGGTGTAGCAGACATTGGGTTTTGTTCTCCATACCTTACGACTATATGATGTCATTCCGTGTTAGGATGGCGTTGGCATGACACGTTTGGAAGATGTTGGATTTTGGTTACTACAACACAACTTAAAACCAACAAAATATCAATGTCATCTGTCGTCAGTATTCAACGTCAAATTGACTTTGACTTTTCTGTGTTTTATCATTACAGCCACTGAGTCCTGCACAGCTACGTCTTATTGGTCTGACTGTTTCCTTGTTGGCTTGATTGGTGGCTTAGCTTGTGGCCTGCCATTGATTATAAGTGTCCTTATTGTCTTGAGATGCAAAAATTCAACAATCAGTAAGTTAAAAAAAATACATATATTTGATATTATTTCTACCAAAACATAGTTCTGATGGTAATATCAAGGAATTCCTTGCTAAAACACAGCTAATGTCAAAATCCTAGCTTTGCATTTAAGCGCAGTGAGCAGAGGAAATTGTTGACATTGTTCATTTCTGCAAACCATTTGTTCATACATTTGTGCATTTCATACATATGATATCAATGTTTCCAAAGTAACTTAGTTTGGATTGCATGCCTAAGGTAAAGTAAAGTAAAGTCCCCCTGATTGTCACTTATTGTGTGTGAAATCTTTTTTTCCGCATTTGACCCATCCCCTCAGGGAGCGGTGAGCAGCAGCGGTGCTGCGCTCGGGAATCATGTGGTGATCTAACCCCCCATTTCCAACCCCTGATGCTGAGTGCCAAGCAGGGAGGCAATGGGTCCCATTTTTATAGTCCAATTGTTTTTCGTACCTAAAGATAATCACAAGTTCACTGGTGTTGCTATAATATAAAGAAACATAAAGTTTCAACATATTTGCCACATGATAACATACAAGTGTTACCTAGCCATGGTTTGCAGAAACCTACAAAACCAACATTTATTTTGATGATTGGGTTGTGCTCTTTCAAATTGTAATTGTCTTATTAAAGAAGGACTACTTTTAGCTCCCTTTTTTAAGAGCTGGTAAATTTTTCATTTAGTATTATTCTAATGTTTCCCTCAGGGTCGTATATTTTCTCTGCAAAAAGGGAAGATCTGAATGAAAAAAAGGCTCAGCTGCAGAAACAATCCCAGAAGACACAAGAAGAACTGGCTGCATGGGTGGTGGTATTAACTCCATTGATGGATCTGAAGAGGGGACTGTGGGGTCAAAGGGAAGAATTCAGACTGCAGCTGGAAGAGATAGACAGAGAGAGGGAGGAGAGCAAGGAAAAGCTTCAGTTAGTGGAGAAGGCAATAGCAGAGAGTGAGAAAGAAAAGGCAACTGACAAAACAGATGGATACTTGAGAGAAAAACAAAGCCTGTTAAAGGCTCAGTGGAAACTGGAGAAGAGAAAGGAAGAACTGGAGAACCAGCAACTGAACATGGAGAAACTGCTGCAGAAAACAGAGGGTACCATAGCAACAATAACAGAGAGACAGAGGAAAGTAGAGAACCACATGGAGCTGATTAACTTGCACCTGGAAGAGGTAGAAAGTCAGGATGATAAAGCTCATCTAAACAGAGAGTAGTCAGAAAGTTTATCACGTATACCTGTACAGTCAATACTGTTTCCTTTCTGCTGGGTCATTATTAACACTTTTAATACTAAGTGACCCTCACAGACATTTTTGTTTATACTGAAAAAGACAGCTACAGCTACAATTGGCATCCTCCAGACTTTGGATTTAAGCACCTTTATTATTATATTGTGTGTGTCATAACTACATTGATAAGAGCTATCTTTTTTGAATATATTGTAATGCTGGCAGCACGGTGGTGCCCCCC